AGGCACAGTGGCTCACACCTATAATCCCAGCACTTTGGGAGTCCAGGGAGGGAAGATTTCTTGAGCCCAGGAGTTCACAACCAGTCCCGGGAACATAGCAAGACTCTGTTTCTACCCCTCTCCCCCAAAAAGTAGCCAGATATAGTGATGGACACCTGTGATCCCAGCTACTTGAGAGGCAGGGTTTCTTTTTTTCTTTTTGAGACCAAGTCGCACTCTGTCACCCAAGCTGGAGTGCAGCGGCATGATCTCCACTCACTGCAGCCTCCGTCTTGTGGGTTGAAGCCATTCTCCTGCCTCAGCCTCCTAAGCAGCTGGGATTATAGGTGTCCACCATGATGCACGGCTAATTTTTGTATTTTTAGTAGATGGGGTTTCACCACGTTGGCCAGACTGGTCTCAAACTCCTGACCTCAAGTGATCTACCTGCCTCAGCGTCCCAAAGTGCTGGGACTACAAGCGTGAGCCCCCGTGCCCACCTTATTTGAAGTTTATTTAATTTTTGCTCATAGAAGAGCTTTCCATCATCAGTTCAAAGTCATCCAGTTACTTCCTGACTTAATATTTCTGTTTCATTGTGTCCACAGTTATTATCGATCTTTTATTTGTAATACTCAGCATGTTGGATCATAATCAGATGAGTTCCTTGTCTGATTTATCTCTGTAAGTGTATTACCCAGCAGGAGACTGGGGTCACTGATTGGGTTTATAACGTTTGTTGAATGAATACATCTGAGAAAGACCATGCGTCAATCTACTGCACAGCAACAGAACATGATTCTGACATTCTGTCTCCTGAAGTGACCATTCTTGTTTTTTTTTTTCTTTTTTTTTCTTGAAGTTATAGGGTACATGTGCACTCTTATTTCATAAATAACATCATGGGCTGGGTGCGTTGACTCACGCCTGTAATCCCAGCACTTTGGGAGGCTGAGGTGGGTGGATCATCTGAGGTCAGGAGTTCGAGACCAGACTGACCAACATGGCGAAACCCCGTCTCCACTAAAAATACAAAAATTAGCTGGGCGGGGTGGTAAGCACCTGTAGTCCCAGCTGCTCAGAAGGCTGAGGCAGGAGAATTGCTTGAACCCGGGAGGCAGAGGTCGCAGTGAGCCAAGATTGTGCCACTGCACTCCAGCCTGGGCAACAGAGCGAGATGCCATCTGAAAAAAAAAAAAAAAGGAAGAAGCTACCAGTGTCTTAAAATAAGATCTGGTCCTGTAAGATGTATAGAGTTATTTTCTTTCTTTCTTTTTCTTTCTTTCTTTCTTTTTTTTTTTTTTTTTTTTTTTTTTTTTTTTTT